TTAAAAAATCCTATGCACAATAAATAAAATATTATTTTAAAATACATACTCCAGAAAAATACTTACCTTCGGAAAGTCCAGGAAGTAACACTCGCGGCTTCGCTAGCCAAGCATTTCCTGGAGCTCTATGGTACTTGGTCATTTTTTCTTATAAAATGAGGTAAAAGGGGCGCGGGGGGGGTAAGTACTGAGGCAGAGAGAGAGGTTAGACAGGGTGTCTTTTGTCTTGCCCCGGTTAGGATTTCTTAAGCAAATCCACTGGGCTTTCAACATGAAGCCAGAAAACGCCCCGGGACACGGGACAAATTGTTATAAAGCGTGACCGTCCCGCTGAAATCGGAATGTCTGGTCACCTTATCTTAGATGGTAATCCAAGGATGCCTCTTGTAGTCAGTTATCTACCACATTTACCCAGTAGGAAGTATCTTACTGTGTTAACAAAGAGGATTGTAGGAGCAAATGGCAACACATAGCTGCTAAAAAGTATTGATACTTTCAGAGATTAGTTTGAATATTAGTGACTGCTTTAGATATATGTTTGCTTTTCCACAATGCCTAAATGGGGATTTTTCTTTCTTTCTTTTTCCCCTTCTTTCCACTTTTTTGTACCCAGTTACCTTTAACCACACCCTCCTATTTTCTTCTTGTTTGCTTTCTGTTTTGGTTACAAGAAAGGAGAGATTGGTGGTTTTTATTTTCACAGAGTTAATTTTAATCGGTAGTTAATTCAGTTCACATTTTTGTCATATTTTGCGTAGAGATACGTGCATGCACACACACACACACTCACACACACAGTCATGTTCAGGGATACATATTCAACGGGAAGTATCAAAATTAGTTGTGCCTGGAATTGGGAACCCTTGATGGAAAAGGAGAGAAAAAGGGCATTGTACAATATTTTTAATATTTAGGGGATTGTCTTAAAATCATAGTTGTCTCCTTTTGAATTAAGTGTGCTATGTATTAAAATGATAATAGTTATGTACCTTTTAGGATAATCCAGATAAAGTAGATTTATAAGCCAAAAAACCAAAAGTATGGACTGGATTAGGAGATTCTGAGTCCTAATTCTGTTTTAGATAGAAACCAGCTGGGTGATTTGGTCAACTTACTCTCTCTTTTCTCCCAAGGAAGAAGAAAGACAATGAAAATGGTCTTCCAAAAAATGTTGCTGAGAAAACTGCTTAGCGTCAAGACTGACTTAAAAATGCATGCACATGTGTGTGTGCGCGCACACATACACACACTCATTAAAATGAACACACTACTCCTATTGCCTCATACAAGCCTTTTCCCCAAATCTGGTGGGCAAAGGACTTTCAAGACACCTGGTACAGATTTAGAATTTGTTGAAAAGCAGAAGCTGATTTATGAACCATACATTTGTAGTAGCTAGAAATTTAAATAGATTAAATACATTTAAATAGCTTCAACATATGGGGATAAAGTTAGTCAGTTATGGCCGATATAGGTAGTACTCAACTTACTAGCACAATTGAGCCCAAAATTTTCACTGCTAAGCAAGACAGTTGTTAAGTATTAACTTACAATGGGTATTCTGATTCCAAATGTGGTCATAAGCCAAGGTCTACTTGTATAACTGATATTTTATTAGAGTTAAACAATGGTTTTATATAACATTGGTTTCAGATTTGCACTTTAAGATTATAGGTTTTGTTTGATGATGATATTAAAAATGTTTGTTGATGTATGTCTTTTTGCATTCCGAGAATTTTAAATTTAGTTGCTCCTGGAGTCACTTATGGGCTTTGTTTTCTATTTCCTCCATGGTATCATTTGCACTAGTGAAATAGGTTATAAATCTGGAGGAGACAATTTATATCCAAAATATCTTAGTGAAATAGTATTCTGGAGTGTATAATGAATTAAAAATACCAGTATGTAATTTTTACTAGGAGCTCATAAGATACTATTTGGAAATTGTGATGACGAATTACATCCAAAGTGACATGATGAATGCTGTTAGCTCAATGGTATTAAATACTTCGAATATTAGCTGTGGCTTAAAACAGACTGGTTAGAGTTGTGCAAAACTATGTACTGCATTTTTATTCAGGGATATCTTTTGTGCTATTGTTCTTCTGAATTTTGTTAATATTTTAATAAGTGAGATGATTGTGGCATGTTGAAATGACCACATTCTCTGAAAGCAGATTTGCCTTAATAGGAACCTACAGTTCATTTTAAGATAACCATTCCAGATTTTGGAGTTCCAGTAATACCTATATTACAGCACATTAAAATAAAACAAAGCTGGAAAAAATCTGAAAGTTGTTGGAGGGATAAGAATAAAGAGTAATGACAACCAAAAGAGTTTAATAATTGTTTTGATCTTCTTCTTCATGCACTTTTCTATTTAAAAATCTCTTCATTGTAAATATATAGCTTAGAGTAGCTCCAGTTGTTTATGAAACTGATAAGGCCATTGAGACCTGATTCTGCCAGGAAACCTTAAGATGCTGGATTGAATAGAGCCGTGATGGTGAACCTATGGCACACGTCTGCCCCTGGCACATTGCATTATGGGCATTATGGGCTTTCGGCATGCAACAACAAAAAGGTTAGCCATCACTGGCATAGGGCCTCCCCTAAGGAGCTTCTTATTTATCTGTACTAGTAAGTGTTTCCTCACCCAGTAGTGGGGAATGACGATTCCTCATTTTAATGACGATTAATCATTTTAAACTATTAAATATTGTATTGCTTTAAGTCCTGTTACAACTTGGGCATATAGCAGAAAGTGTCAATTGCAACTTATAGGTTTGAGTAAAAAATTAATAAACAAAACATATTTTGTACTTATTCCATCTACATGCATATTTTTGCTTTTCTTATTTGCAGATGAAGGCTGCTGAAAGAGAATATTTTTTAAGAGCTAAGGAAACTCATAATTGATATTAGAGAAACATAGTAATCACCTTTCATGGATGAGCTTTTTCATAATTCTGGGAAATTATTCTCTATTTCTGTATTATTGGAAAGTTTCAGCTTGTCAATTTTTTTCTGAATGATATGAAAAGCTGTTAACTGATTTTAATTAGTATGATAAACCTGTATTTAGAATTTCATATGGTAATATTCTTAGGTTAATAATTATTCAGGTTTCATCATGTGTTTCAAACCTTTCCTTCATAACATTGTACCATTAGTACTCTGTGCAGATAGTATATGCTAAGAGGACAATTGATATTCACACATATTTGAAGAAGGCTAATTGAGGTTGCATTGGAATATCAGAGCATGTATTTGGTAGCATAACAATATCTATTTTAAAATATGTAAAACCTGATTTTGGTATTGATTTGAATTAAGTTGATTCTTAAGGGATTTTTGGAGTTTGTTTTTGCAAAACAGGCGATACTGCTAACTTTCTAAAACAAGGAGCATGATGTCAATACTTATCCATTCTGCAAGAAATGTTTAATATGGCAGTATAGACTAATAAATAATATTTTTGATGAAAGTACAGACCTTCAGCTTTGTTTTAATGATGAAAAAGCATAATATAAATGTTATAAATAAAATTATATGCGTGCCTCTGTGGAGTGATGTTTAAAAATACCTTATTAAGATGGGATAAATTGCAACTACCATACTTTTCGGACTATAACATGCACTTTCTCCTCCCCCCCCCCACACCTCCTAAAAGAGGGTGGAAATGTTGGTGCATCTTATACATTGAATACAGCCATTTTTGGCTTCCAGAAACCTCGCCCCAAGCATCCCATTTTTGCCAAAAACAGTTGTTTTTTTGCTAAAATGGGGTGCACAAAGAGTTTGGAAGGCCTGCAGAATGCTCCTAGGGGCTGAGGAGGGCAAAAATGTGATGCATGTGGGGGGGGGGGTTATGAGGTGGACCTGTTTTTTGTAAAAAAAAAATGGATTTTTTTGTCAGGAGCATTCTGCAGGCTGCCCCAACCCTTTGNGGGTCCTTTTAACAAATTCTTGAGTCCCTTCTAAAGGTAAGGTAAAGGTAAAGGTTCCCCTTGCACATATGTGCTAGTTATTCCCAACTCTAGGGGGCGGTGCTCATCTCCATTTCAAAGCCGAAGAGCCAGCGCTATCCGAAGATGTCTCCATAGTCATGTGGCTGGAATGACTAAACGCCGAAGGCACACAGAACATTGTCATTTCCCACCAAAGTGGTTCCTATTTTCCTACTTCCATCTTTTACATGCTTTAGAAACAGCTAAGTTGGCAGAAGCTGGGACAAATAATGGGAGCTCACTCCATTATGCAGCACTAGGGATTCGAACTGCCGAACTGCTGACCTTTCTGATCGACAAGCTCAGCATCTTAGCCACTGAA